AAGGCGTGGACTCTTTGCCTATAGTTTCACACTCTACAAACAGCTGAGATACTAAAATGTCAAGCATGAAGCAGAAATCTGAGAACTTATGTAACTCAAACAATTTGACATCAAGCAACCAAGTTCACTGTGCCTATTTTCAAAGGAGGCTATGTTACCAAAACACTTTTCAAGTAGCTTAGTTTCCTGGATAGCATGGATAGCATTACAGAATTACAGCTCCAACTGAAGGGGTGGATGGAACCACTTGACACTTTTCCTACCCAGCATGTCTATCTATCTGCCAGGAAGCGGTAACTCCAAAGCCATGCTTAGAAGATAATGTGGGAGGGAGATCTGTTAATAACTGAGTAATCCAGTGACTGGGAAGTAGTTTGGTTTTCTCGATCATCCATCTTCTTCCAACTATAATACAAACATAGTGGCTAGGCAGCAGCAACTTAATTATAGGCAGAGTACTGGGTAGTCTATGGCTATGAACTTTACCCCAGAATTTACTTGTTGCTTCAGAACTATGCTTTAGAATCTAAATTTTCCTGTTTTCAAAAATTTCTAGCTCAGATGGTTATGATACTCTTTAGAGTATTAGAAAAGCTTAGAAAAGTTAACTAATGCAGTGTGACAGCCTGAATTAACAGCTCCACTGCAATTACCCTATTCATCTCACTGAGGCATTAAATCTGAAAGTGACAAAATGTCAACACTAAGGGCTGATCTACAGTAGAAAGTTAGGTTGACCCAGCTACATGGCTCAGGGGTGTGAAAACTGAGAGCTGTAGTAAGCCAAATTAAGCCCTGTGTATAAGAATTCTTCCATTGACCTAGCTACCACCTCTCAGGGAGGTGGATTTACTACAGTGACAGAAGTCTGTCTTGTAGTATCTACAGTGAAGCACTACAGCACACACTGAGAACCTAGGTGCAGATTAATAAACTGAATAATATAAAAATAACAATAAGCTGCTGATTATTTTGAGTAAACTCCTAGGAGCAGGGAGCATGCCTTCTCTTGGGGCTGCTGCTGGCAACAAAATTTTTTAATTTTTAATTCAGTAAAAATAAGTTTCCTTTCCTTTCAAACTTGCCTCAATATCCAGCCTGCTTCAAAATGGGAGGGACCTTGCTTAACAATGACTTTGGGAGTTAACTGAAGGAAAAAACCTGCATTGCTAATGTGGTATCTGAACAGTACTACTGAATGAAAATGTGCACTGAGCTTTCTGTGGCTGCCTTGAAAAGCACAAGAAAATTATCTCCCAGAAGTTTCAAAGTTGGCCAAAAAAACAAATTGTGGAAAATTCTGACATTCATTTTGTCTAAATTTTCCATGGAAATCTGATGTTTATTTTCCCAGTGGCAATTTAACAATTGAAAAATTTTGGCCAAAAGTATAAACATTTTGATTTGGAGATGCTGCCACAGTACCTCACAAGAGTTCTAGCCTCTTCCATAGGCTGAGCCTGACTCCATCTCCCATGAAACACCACGATCTCCCCTTTTGGAGAAAGGAGGCAGTGCCTCATGGGAGTCCTTGGCCATGGTGCATCCATCATGGGCCACTATAGTCCAGATAGGAAACTCAGGCCAAAGATTAACATAAATGAGACCACCGAACTACAACTCCCATAAGTAGGGCTACCAAATTCATGGCTGTGAAAAACACGTCACGGACTGTGAAATCTGGTCTCCTCCATGAAATCTGGTCTTTTGTGTGCCATATAGATTTCACAGGGGGAGACCAGCGTCTCTCAAACTGGGGGTCCTGATCCAAAAAAGGGTTGCAGGGGGGTCACGGTATTGCCACCCTTACTTCTGTGCTGCCTTCAGAGCTGGGTGGCCAGAGAGCAGCGGCTGCTGGCCAGGTGCCCACTCTGAAGGCAGCAGCACAGAACTAAGGGTGGCAATACCAAACCATGCCACCCTTACTGCTGCACTGTTGCTGGCGACGGCGCTACCTTCAGAGGTGGGCAGTTGGAGAGCGGCGGCTGCCGACTCGGCGCCCACCACTGACAGCAGGGCCGCCCCCCGCACCCCCCCCAAACGAAAGGCGGGCATTGCACACTA